TGTCATCAGCTCAACAACAACCCCTTAATGAGTTGATGTATTAAAGGGAAACCACAAAAATGTGCAGGGCAAAGTGCCTCTATTCTGAACACTATTCTAAACTCCTCCCTGATGATCTATTCTGCATTAAAATCTGACTTCAAACAGACAAAAGACTGAAACTAAAATTGTTAGGTAAACGTAATCAATGCAACAGGAAAGAATACTAGCCTGTGTCTCTGTGAACGAAGCAGGCCATTTCGTCTTCCAAAGGACCATCCTCAATCACTTACATTTGCCTCAGTGAAAATGACCTGTTCATAAGGGTATCAATGCTTCCAGTCCACTGTTCTTGCCTTCATCTCAGACTTGAAAGTACTTCTCACCACTTTAAGACTGTCAGAGCTTTTTTTCTTGAGGGAAGCCAGGAAAAAAATTCACCTCTGGCTTCTTGGGCTTCTCTGCTGTTCTGGATTAAACTGCTAATAGATCTTCTGCCTATTCAGACAGCCCAACTAGCAATAAGCAACATCCCAGGTGAAGAAAGTACTTAGTTAAAACACAAGGTTCACAAAAATGACATAAATCACATAATAGCTATGTCTTTACTGAAGCAGAGTCCAAACGTCTTTTATGTTGGGCCACTAAATGTCTTTTTAACGCTACTTGAGTTCTTAATGAATAGGAAATCTATATGTACGCATGACAAAGGGCAAGACCTGTATGTGTTCATAGCCTGTTCTTCTTCTTGAGTCAATGGATAAATTCTTGGTTTAGGAAAAGATCAGGAAGAGATCAATAGTGCAGTCATAAGGGCGATGTGGTGGCAATTTGGTGGCGTTTCTCTTATTAAACACCTCCTGGAGATCAGAATATTCAGCTGGGATACTTCAAGGGATCTCTGAGTTAGGACTCTCTACAAATGTAGAGCTTACTTGCATTGATGGAAAAGTAAAACAATTTTAATAGCAGTGTTCAGACCAGAAAGTAAGTGAGCGGAAAGACCCAGAAATACGAGGATTGTGCTGTTCTAGCCAGAGGAGACCTAATATTACAGAAAATTCAGATAATTCTAGCACTAGGATGAGTAACTGCTTATGGTGGAGAGCAATGGTACTCATTTTTACAAGTTCAGTTTTCTGAGTGATAGCACCAGGAGCCACAGGCTCTCCATCTAGGGCCGCTACCTCCAAGGACGTCACCGGAATCTGTAGCTGAGTCACCAATTTTGCATGAATGAAGTTTCCTTCCACTCCGGAATCAATCAGGGCTGAAACAACAGAGAAGAGTAGAAAGTGTTCTGCGCTGCCACAGTAGAAACACAGTCTTTCATTCATATGACGATTCCTCTCCTTGGCAGACAAACGTGATGAATTACACTGCTTGGGTTCTTCCAGATCCAGCTGATCTAGACGAACCTCTAGACTAATGAGTTCCTCTAAATTCAGTTCGTCATCTCTGCTTGTAAGTTCAGTAAGAATGTCTGGATTGAGTCCTTGACCAAACATGACCAATAAAGCCGGCTCATTCCACCCACTCCCAGCAGCCAGAGTAGGGAATTCTAGTGAATACTCTGCTACCGTACGATTCCCTTGACACAGTTTTGTCAAAAGTTCTCTGCTAACTTTACCATCATGAGGATGATCAAAAACAAGGCAAAAATCTTTCAAAAACTGTTCATAGTATTGGCTTTGAGCTTTGGGCCAAATAGCAGTTGCCCATTCTAGTGCTCTGTCATTAAGTCGGGAGATTAGGAAAGAAATTTTAGATTGATCTGAACGAGGAGGAGAATTATTGAAAAATATAGCACACTGGAGAAGAAAGCCATGACATTTATCAGGGTTCACATCAAACTTATCAGGCTTACTGACTGAGAAAACAGAGCTTGGCAATTCAATGGGTGAACTAGAAGCAGCGACAGACATACTTACATTGTAAAAATGTATTTGGACTTTTAGTTATCATATCTTTCTTTGTGAAGTCAACTTAAATTTACCATTGTTGTTGCGTTTTTACTGCTTAAACTAGTGGTATGTTTTCACTTAATTGATATAAATTAATATTTTTTTGTTGTTTCCACAACAATCATTAGTTTTAGTGTCTTACATCACCGTTGGTTGCCACCACTCTGCGTATGACACCACAGCTGTTTCATTTTTTTTTCTCCTTTTATCAGCTGATGAGGAGGCAACCTAGCTGCAGTATTTTATGGTGAGTACACTGCGAAACTTGTTGCCTTATTGACTTTCTTGCTTATCTGTGCATGATTGTAATATTATTTGAGTAAACCTAGCCAGAAATTATTTAATTGTGGTAAAATTTGTGGTGAAATGACCTTGCAAACACAAAGTTTGCTCGCTAATGAAAGCCCATATTTGACATGCAGCTAGCTAGCTCACTAGCATAGCGTTTTTGCAAGTTAACGATAGCTAGATTCACCAGACTAGACTTACATAGTGCCTATAATCTGGAAAGGGTCCGTAAGGGAGATGAATGGAAGACAGTTTTTGTTACCACTAGGGGGCACTATGAGTACCTTATTATGCCTTTCAGTTTACCTAATGCCCCTTCTGTGTTTCAGGCTTTCATTAATGATGTTCTACAGGACATGTTTGGTTAGTTTGGTATCGCCTACATCAATGATATTCTAATTTACTCTCCTGACTTAGAGACTCGCATACAACAGGTATGCGAGTCCTCAAAGTTTGCTTTAGTAAATATCAGACCAGTTAAACCAGTTTGCAGTGACAGCAACTTTGGTCTAAAACTAGGACTGCTTAACGTAAGATCTCTTACACCTAAGGCCGTCGTTGTAAATTAAATTGTTACCAATCATGATTTAGATGCTCTGTGCCTCACAGAAACATGGATTAGACCTGATGAATACTGTGGTCTAAATAAAGCCACCCCCACAGGCTACAGTTATGCGCATAGCTCTCGTTTAAGTGGAGGTATAGCAACGATGCGAAAACTTTAGGCATGAGCCAGAAAGTAGGCTACAAATTCTCTTCTTTTGAAATTCTCCTTCTTAATATAAGTGATCGAGGAGCAAATAAGAATACTTTTTCACTAATTACAATCCATAAGCCGCCAGGGCCATATTCTCAGTTCTTACAGAAATTTTCTGACTTTTTATCAAGTTCAATAATGTTGAGAAATAATTGTTGGAGATTTTAATATCCACTTTGATAAACCACAAGATCCACTAAGTAAGGCATTTATTTCTATCTTAGACTCTATAGGTTTCACTCAAAATATAAAGGAGCCCGCTCATTATTGCAGCCGCACTTTAGACTTAATTCTGACCTTTGGTGTAAACATAGATCATTTAAACATTCTCCCCCAGAGCACAGCAGTCTCAGATCAGTAACTTTCTCCTACTTAACTTCTTCTTGTCCAAAAGCTGCTAGAAACAAACTGTCTGATTTAACACTTAAACTTAATAGTTTGCTCAGTTGCGTCAGGTTCATCTGTAAAAAAATCTTGGTGTCATGATAGATCCTGATCTGTCCTTAGATGCACATATAACAAATATTAATAGAATATCTTTCCTGCATCTCTGCAATATTGCCAAATTAAGAAATGCACTGTTTCTACAGGATGCAGAAAAGCTAGTTCATGCATTTATTACTGCAAGGCTGGATTACTGTAATGCCCTGCTGTCCGGATGTTCCAGCAAAAGCCTTAACAAGCTTCAGTTAGTCCAGAACGCTGCAGCCAGAGTCCTCACAAGAACCAGAAAGTTTGACCATATCAGTCCTGTTTTATCAACCTTACACTGGTTGCCAGTGAAATTTCGCATTGATTACAAAATTCATTTACTGACCTATAAAGCTGTAAACGGACTCACCCCTCAGTACCTGAGTGAACTTATCTCTTATTATGAACCATCACGCCTACTTAGATCACAAGGTGCTGCTCACTATTAGTACCTAGAATTAATAAAGTTACATCAGGGGGGAGAACCTTCTCATATAAAGCCCCCCCAGCTTTGGAATAATCTTCCAGTCAGTGTTCGGGACTCAGACACAGCCTCAGTCTGTAAGTCTGGGCTAAAAACCTACTTGTTTAGTCGAGCTTTTGGTAATTAGTATTTCCTGTTAGATAAAAGGTGCAGATCTGGGGGTTCATGGTCATAGAGTATTATAGTAAACTGGGAATGTTGGTGCTGTCGTCCCACTGCTCTCACACGTTCACTCAGGTTTGCTGACGGTGGAACGGAGGGGCGCTGACATCTCAGGGAGCCCTCATGTCTCTGTTACCTTCTGTCTCTCCCTTTTAGTTAGGCTGTAAACCCTGTAAACTGTAATCAGTCACTCTTTACAGAACTCTCTGTATGTTTTTTCTTTTTCTTTGCTGAGTTGAACAGCTGCCCACCCTGTGCGTCTGATGCTGTTGCTTCATCTGCCTTGATCGGGTGCCCACTGCTTGCCAGCCTTCTGGACCAGTCTGAACACCATGGAGGGTCCTGCTGTAGAACTTTGTGCAAACCTCACCTGCATGAACTGACCTTCCTGATGATACTGCTGCTTTTTTTAATCATAGACATTACTACTCCTGCTTTTCCCCTTTTCCGTATCTTATACTGATAAAAGCGTTATATAAATAAACTTTGACTTGCCTTGACTCTATGACTTGTAAAAAGAGCAGAATCCTTTTGGTGCTATGTAAGAAGCATTTTTAAACAGTTCTTTAAAGAACCATGTACAACATAGAGAAGAACCACTGAAGCGTTCAAAAGGTTCTTTGAGTGCTCACGATTCTATACATAAAGAGAAACTTTGAAGGTGGATAATTCTGCATTTAGTTTTTATTTAAAAAAAAATAATCTTTTTTTCTTGATTTTGCTGTTTATCTTGTTGAAAAAGTAAGAATGAATGACTGTGAATATAAAAGTGTGGTTCCTCTTTTACTGAACTGTGTGTCTTTGTTGAATTACCTCAGAGAAACTCTGCGTGTTTGTCATTTTGTGCGTGTTGGGACTTGTTTGAGTTTGGCGCTTTTTTTTTTTAGAACCTCCCCTAACAGGAAGAAGATTCGTTGACTGTCATTGTTCTTTACAACACTTGTTATCTAAGAACAGGTTAGCCAAACATACTGCAAGGAAGCTCTGATCATTTCACAGGTAAGTGAATCTTTCAGTATGTTACAGGTTATTAAAGCAGCTCTGCTGTCGTTTGATCTCGAGTTCAGTTTGCTGTGAGTCAGTCTGATATGTAAGTTTAGTATGATAGATTACATGGTGGTGAAGATTACCGCTCTGTGAGGTCTGAGAAAGTCTAGGTCAACTAAACAGAAACCAAAGGCAAGTAACAGTTCTGAATCTTTGAGCGTAGTAAAGAACCTCGTGTGCTTGTTTCAGAGAGAAGTTTGCATTTTCATATTGTGTTTATATGTTTTCAGAACCTGCAGTAGCTGCACTGTGTAAGTTAGTGAGGAAAATCGCTTCCCTTACCACCTAAATCACACACAACCTCACACCACTGAATCACACACAGGTTCGGGCGCCTTTATAGTGCACTATGATGCATTCTGTGATGTAAATTAGAAAAAAAAAGTGTGCTGTGAAGGTGATAAAGATGAAAATATCTCAGTTAAAGAATTATTTGAAAGTGAAAGTGATCTCAGGTCCACAGACAGTCCAGGAGTGACACTGACGTGTGTAAAATCCCCAGCAGCACCACTGTGTCTGATACACTCGTACCAGCAACACACGCACTACCATGTCAGTGTCACTGCTGTTTGAGAAGGAACCACCACCCAAATAATATCTGGACGACTGCAGCCCTGTGGTCAGAAAATGACCAATGATGAATGAGGTAGAGAACGCTGATAAATTGTGCTGAAACAGGTGGACTACAGCCTGTAACTGTACACCTGCATAGTGGAGCTATAAGGAGGTGTTTCTAATAAAGTGGCCAGTAAGTGGAAGTACAAGGTAAGTGTTTTAGCCAGTTAGTGGAAGTACAAGGTCTGTGTTTCTAATAAAGTGGCCAGTGAGTGGAAGCATGAGGTAGGTGTTTGTAATAAAGTGGCCAGTGAGTGGAAGCATGAGGTAGGTGTTTGTAATAAAGTGGCCAGTGAGTGGAAGCACAAGGTCGATGTTTTTAATGAAGTTGATACTGAATGTATGTTGGAAATCAGAAAAGGAAATGTATTTGGAATCAGTCCATTTGACGTGATGAAGCTACAACAATCATGAACAGCATCATGGTAAATGAGGCTTGTGAGCTAATTATTAAAACACACAACTCGGGCATTGAATTTGTTTTTGTTACTCTAACAGGTACCATGAACGAATCCAGGGATGAGCGCTTACTGAGGAGGAACAGACCTTTAATTGTAAACTGTGTGACAGAAGTAGACGGTTTGGTGGATTTTCTGATTAAGAAGAATCGTATTTCTGAAGAAATGATCAGTGAAATGGACACTGACATGCCCAGTACGAAAAAAATACGTAAACTTCTGGATTATGTGAGGAAAACAAAGGCAAGTGAGGTCGCGATGAAATGGATAAGGAAGAATGTACCTAATTTGGATTTGGGTAAGCCTGTTTCTCTCTCACAGCACAGTGGTCTTCCTTATACTCTCCATTACAGCAGGATGCATCTCTAAAGCAAACACTGGTTGGGATTTCCAGTAAGTGAATCTTTGAAATAACTAACAGTTTTTTATTCACTTCACACAGCAGAGAACAGCGATTCAGACCAAGAAGCACCACCAAGTAAGTTGCCCGTAACATGCGTGGTACCCCCTTTTTTAATTGTATTTGTGTTGTGTTCTCGTGCTATGTTTTATTTTGTTAAACTTCCCTTTACTCACGCATTCTCTTTATTAGATTATTAGAAGCTCTGCAGAAGTCGTAAAGATGTAAAGATGGATGAAACTGACAGTGACCCTCATAAATCTAGTTAGTCTTCCATTTCTTGTAAGATGGAATTCCCTTCTACAACCCCATTTCCAAAAAAGTTGTGATGCTGTGCAAACTGTAAATGAAAACAAAATGCAAAGATGTGCACATCTTTTAAACCCCTAATTTATTTGAAAATAGTAGAAAGATAACATCAAATGTTGAAATGTTTCTTTTTCTTCAATAGCACAGACCAGAATGAATTCCAAGCTGGTTTAAGCTGGTCTAGTGCTGGTCTAGCTGGTCCTCAGTATAGTCATGCTGGCTGACCAGCATACCAGCGTCCAAAACACAACATATGTTGATTTTACTGACCAGCCACACTGGTCTATGCTGGTTTTCTAGCAGGGCAGAAGGAGGATATCTGAAGTTTCCTCTCACAGTGCAGACAGATTTCTATCCTGTTGAGTGACATTTGTTAAGTGGAGTCTACTTGACTGGCTGACATTAACTTCTGCATAGCAATGTGCGTGAGATACATTTACAGTATTCATTTTCTTTCTTTCATTCAACATACATTATTAAAACACATATTTCAAATTTATATTTGATTTAAGCCTAACATTTATTTGAATAATCTTAATAATAGATGAGGCACTGCGGCACTACTGGACTAGAGCAGCAGCTGCCCCTTGACCCTGTTCATGCCCTATTATTCCAGTTAAATTGGAAGATGCTGTAGCACTGTTGAATAATGAATATAATTTGAACTAATAATGTAATGTACAAATAGCATTTAAAGCCCCTAAAATTGGCCTAGCAACTCCCCTGAGCTGAAATTCCTAACAGCTATCTAAAACGGAGAGCATCACAAATTAAAGTGGGTAAACAAATTTCTTGTCTTGTCTATGTTTTGAGGGCACACACACACAAGATGACAAGACAAAGAGATGTATAACACACACAACAAGTTTCAGCTATGAATAGGAGTTCAAACTCCCAGAGGGAGTAGCTCCCCTGTTATTACATGACCCAAACAACGCTAAACTGGGCTGGACCTGATTGTGCTTTTATGCAAAGCAAAAACACAAACTGAGGACAAATATCACATTGAGAAACACTGATATCTCAGTTAAAGCCAGAGAATATTTCACTACAAAGTGCCAGCTGACTTGAAAAGACATGTAAAGAGAGTGACTTGACGTGTGGATTCATACATTTTAAAGGCTGTTATTAGTCTGTGTTCAACAAGCAGCTCCTCTGTCACTGCGGTCTGCGGCACACGTGGTGTACATACACATCTCTTCACCTTTTTACTCCACTCTTCTAGCTCTCTCATTTGCTTTCACTCGTTGTGTTACATCACTGTTCATCTCACACTACAGGGCTCGTGAACATTTTGTAAAAATCAAATAAGTGAAAATATCAGAGGGCTTCCAATCTCACCAGAGCACAATCAGGGGGCTAAAGCTTTAATGGCATCCCATTCTAAACCCATAGGCATTAATATGGAGTTGGTCCCCCTTTGCAGCTGTAACAGCTTCTACTCTTCTGGGAAGCTTTCTACAAGATGTTGGAGAGTGTGGGAATTTTTTTTGTACTTATATATATATGGACCAAAATGTATGTATTCAGAAGCATAAACATAGATAGGTGTAGAAAAAAGACATTCATAGGGAAAAAGTATTCAGACACTACAAATTAATAACATTAGTTCTTTGCTGAAAAGCCATTGTTGCAGTTGCAACCTTTTTTACGAGACTGAATTCAGCTTCTCATTCACCAGCTTCTTGTTTGAATTTTCCCATTCCACCTTGAATGGAGCCTGTGATGCCAGAATGTAACTGCTGCACCATTTAAGGTGGAATGGGAAAATTCAAACAAGAAGTATCAAATTTAGTCTTAAACCTCTCTCTTTGATTTTTCATTAGCCACTAGCTAGGTGAGATTGTTGTCTGTGTTGCTATGGTGACCAGCAGTCTGTGCACTGATCTTCATGGTTAAAGGGTGAATCAGCAGATATACCTAAACTCCAGCTTTGTGCGTATACATATAAATCTTTGTACATATACATATATATCTTTATACTTTTATTGTTTATTTTATTTAAATATTGTTTGTATATTTCCTGCTGCTCTGTCTTCTGTGCTGCTGTAACATTGCAAATTTCCCCGTTGTGGGATTAATAAAGGATTAACTTATCTTATCTTATCTTATCTTATCTTATCTTTTAAGACCATTTATTGTTAAAACTGTGTTAGAACGATGCAAAGGAGGATTATTTTATTTTTACCTAAAAATCTGATCCTGCTGTGGAGCCGCAACAAGGCAGTAAAAGAGTCGTATGCTTCCGACCCCTGGGCTAGGCCATGCTGCACCTTCACCATCTTTAGAAACTGGTGTTATTCTGGCTGTATGTCTGGGGTTGTTGTTTTGTTGGCACATCCATCTTCTTCGTTTTTTTGGCTGTAGAAATTAAAATCTCATCTAAAATCTCCTGGTATAATACACCATTCCTATTTCCTTGAGGACATTTCCCTGAGGACATTTATGCAGAGACACCATCCAATTTCATAATGCTCCCACCTTTATACTTCACTGGGAGTGTTTTTGGGATCATAAGCACAACCCTTCTTTCTCCAGACATGACGAGCTGATTTTTTTCCAAACAGTTCTGTTTTTGTTTTGCCTGATCAGAGTACATTCTTCCAAAAGTGTTCTGATTTGTCTAAATGCTCATGTGCTGAATTTTATATGTGGATCTCTGAGCTTCTTTTTGTCAGAGGAGTTTGGCATGGGGGACAGGAACAGAGAAGATAGCGGTGTAGTTGCTTATTGTTCTCTGCATAACTGTTCTTCCTGCTGCTTTGAGGTTGTCCTGCAGCTCTTTTTGAGTGGCTGCTGGGTCCACTCTTACCTTCCTGATTGTTAGTCTGAGAGATATCTTGCGTGGTGCACCTGTATGTACATGTATGCATATTTTAATGTGGTGTCTGAAGACCTTTTCCCTATGGATTTTGTTTTTTTAAAAATAACTTTGTTTGTGCTTATAAGTCAAAATACTTTATGAGTGTAAATTTAAAGTGGGTATGTTCACTATGTTCACCATGTTTGGACCCTTTAGAATTTCAATGTTACGTATATTTAAAGGAATTTCTCATTTTATTGCTCTAGTTTTAGAACCTTTAGATGTTTCTCCTTCTTTCATGTTCTCTTTCTCTCTACTATGCACAAACACACTTAGGAAAGAGGCCTAAAACTGAGGCTGACTATTACAGCCCTGAAACCTTTGGAAGAGTGAGAGGAAGAGGCTACAGAGGAACTGCATCTAGAGGCGGCACTAGAGGGAGAGGCTACAGAGGAACTGGATCTAGAGGAGGCATGAGAGGGAGAGGTTACAGAGGAGCTGCAACCAGAGGAGGCACTAGAGGAAGAGGCTACCGAGGAGCTGGAGCAAGAGGAGGCACGACAGGAAGGGGAGCTGCATTTAAGCCAGAGGACAGTGAAGAAGCAAGAATAATAGAGAGAGATGACGAAGTGAGAGCTGAGAGAGAGGTTTGAAGATTTTTTTATGTATCTGTAATGTCTTCTACTTGTTAATTCTTTTAAGTAGCATGCAGCAGTTGAGTAGCAAAAGGAAAACACCTCACTCTTCCATTCAACAATCTATTTCATATTACATAAAACTCAGTAAGAATCTCGAATGGATCCCTACTCCCTAGATGGTGCACTACACTACTAATGTGCCAGTACAGCTAAAGTTTAGACTTTTTGTCACCTCCTCTTAAAACATACTGCCACACTAAAAAGTCCCCCCTGATGTCCTGTCCTCAGCATTTGATTGACAGGAGTGCCTCATTTAAATATGCAATGGCAAACAGTCAGACATTTAAGACAATGAAAATGACATGTCAGAAGCACTTTGCTTTTCCAATATTAACTTTTTCCAGCAAACTTTTTCTACATATTTTGCATTTGAATTATGTCTTAAATAGTGCACATTCACAAGGGAAATGCACTTAAATACACCATTTAATTAGCATTTTCAAATTTTCATTAGAATTTGAAGAAAGTCTGGAATATTCTGCCATAATTATGACTTCATCAGTATCATGAGACCAAAACATCAAGCCGGGGTTCCATCATTCAGTGTGATGCTCTTTGGGTGGGAATGATGACCTTGTTTTCTCCCCCTCTATCATTCAGTGTGATGCTCTCTGGGTGGGAATGATGACCTTGTTTTCTCCCCCTCCATCATTCAGTGTGATGCTCTTTGGATGGGAATGATGACCTTGTTTTCTCCCCCTCTATCATTCAGTGTGATGCTCTCTGGGTGGGAATGATGACCTTGTTTTCTCCCCCTCCATCATTCACTGTGATGCTGTCTGGGTGGGAATGATGACCTTGTTTTCTCTCCCTCTATCATTCACTGTGATGCTCTCTGTGCAGGAATGATGGCCTTGTTTTCTTTCCCTCTATCATTCACTGTGATGCTCTCTGTGCAGGAATGATGGCCTTGTTTTCTCTCCCTCTGTCATTCAGTGTGATGCTCTCTGTGCAGGAATGATGGCCTTGTTTTCTCTCCCTCTGTCATTCAGTGTGATGCTCTCTGTGCAGGAATGATGACCTTGTTTTCTCTCCCTCTGTCATTCAGTGTGATGCTGTCTGAGTGGCACAATATTTTATTAATCTATTACACATGCACCTGTCTTAAAAAACATTAGAGATAACATTTCAGATATTATTACTTACGTAATACTGACATTAATACTAACTGAGGCCCTTGTCAACATTGATGTAATTTGTGACTAAAAGTTTCATTTCTGCTTAAAGCTAATGTGTGTTATTTTATGCCCTCTTATTTATTTAGAAGCTTCTTGAAAAGCTGACTCTTGAGGAATTAAGAGAATTATTCAGGCCGCAGCTTGAGAGGCAGCCTAACCTGGTGTTTGACGTCTTGAAGCTGTGTCAGCACACAAATGATGCTCCACCATCTGAGCCTAACCCACATTTGCCTTGGTGTAAATGTGGAAACTGTAGAGACATGCCCACAGACATTGAGAAGTTATGCTGTGACCAACAACCAGATTACTGCATCAGCAGGCTCCATCATTTCTGCTATTTCTGCCTGGATGATGAGCTTCTTAGACAGGACACCGAAGTCCAAGTAGCACAGACTGCTGATGACCTCAAAGCGTACCGGAATGCTGCATATGGGCGATTTGTAACATGGAAATATGGTCCTCTTGGCCCAGGAATCCGAGTGCCCGTTCCTAGCTGCTGTGTGTGGCGAATCCGTGACAAATACCCTGACCCTCATGGACAGTACACAGGATTTATCGGCAGCCCCCAAAAAGATAGCCCTGAAAAAACCTGCTCTCTTTACAGTAAAAAGCTGTCTTTTGGTTAAGAGTTAATAATGAACGACTATGGAAGAATAAAAAATATCACATTTTAAAGTCATAATTGTGTCATACAGTTTATCCTACACTTTGTGTTGCAGCTGAAGGTCTTTTATATATTCAGGACAGTGCAAAGTCAGAGACCACTCTTTATTTAATTTCCAGTCAAAACTGGATTAAGTACATTAAAATAATTTATCTGAAAACTAATCAGTCTGTCACTCTTTACCTTTATAACAGCTTCCATTCTTTTCAGGAGACTGGAAAAAAAAATATGGACATATATTTTTAGATATTTGAAATACATTTCAAATACATTGCTGTCCATGCCAAAGTACATTCCAAACACTAAAATGTATTTCAGAACATATTGCCATATTAACTAAATTTATTTTAAAATGTATGCGGAAATACACATAGAAATGTACTATACAAAAATAAATGTATATAAATGTGTTTACCAAATCCATTTGAAAATGTATGAAAACAGCCAGAATCCTTTCTAATGCACTTTACTGCTTGGAATAGCTTTTGAAATGAATTTACATTCCAGTATCTTCATTTTACATATTAGCAAATAAACCTTTAACATGGTAAAAGCGAGTGCTGTACATATTGATACTTTGTGAAAATGCAGTTATGATTAGATATATTGTTTATTTGAAATACATTGTGTGTGAGTGTCTTACTGCATACAGACATGATTAATGCAAAGTAATATATTGTAGTGGGTAACACCTCTGCCTTGTACGCTGTAGACTGGGGTTCAATCTCTCACCTGATCAAACACCTTACACTTAACGAATAAGAGTCCTTCGGCAAGACTCCTAACACTACCTTTGCCTACCTGTGTAAAATGACCAAATTGTAAGTTGCTCTGGAGAAGAGTGTCTGCGTAAGTTAGCATACGTAGCGTAAAGTCAGTACCATTTAGTTACCTCTGTAACCTTTATTACACCTACACACAGCTGATAACATATTATAACCAATATAAATAGGGCCATTTTAAAAAAATATATTTAAAATTTTTTGGCCATTTTCATACACTGCAAAAATATATTTGATAAATACATTTGGAAAATACATTTAAAATGCATTTGAAAAATATATTTTTTACATATGGGTGTTTTGGAACAGTTTCTGGAAACAGTGTTCTCTGATTTTGCACTATACTGTATTTTTGTATTTGCTGTTAAATAAAATGTAAACAAATTAATTAACTATATTGTATTTCCTCACACGCTGCACTCTATGGCTTGTAACAATAGCAGAATCATTTTTGGTGCTATGTAAGTACTACATAGAGAATAACTGTTCAAAAGGTTCTTTGAGTGCTCACAACTCTGTATATAACCACTGCCTTTACTTTGAAGAACCATTTTTTGAAGTAGAGAACTTAGTTTACTTGTGAAAAAAAACTGAAAAGTATATTTTTTTTCTTGATTTTGTTGTTTATCTTGTTGAAGATGTAAGAATGAGTAATAAATGTGAATATAAAAGTGCGGTCACCTCAGAGAAACACTAGGCCACGTGTTAGCGCTTTTGTGCCTGTTGGGACCAGGGTTGCCTGGTTTTCAGCTCATCAGGAGCTGAAACTAGGCCAAAAGTTTTCAGTTGCAAATGAAACTTGAAGGCTATAAATTGTATATATACAATACTGTGCAAAATTCAGAGGCAATCAGAGAAAGTATGTGTAAATTTACATATATGGGCTTATTTGTTTGAAGAAAAGGTAGAATAAATACAAATACACAAATAAACCGAAAAACAATCTTTTGTGATTTCGTGCTGGTGTGTTTTCCAAACTTCTCCTTGAGGAAACCCAGAATTTACAGTTACCATCCAATACCTAGACTGAATCTTAAATAGCTCTCTTCTCCCTACATAATGCACAACATAGGTCTTAAAATAACATCTCCTTTGCCAAAACAATGCATATTATGTCTAACAAAGAGCCTTTTGGGATTTAGGCCCATGCACACATTTCCTTACTACACTTTGTAGGGAGTGGGGAGCCACTTGAGACATAGCCCAAGTGTATCTAGTCCTTCATAAAATTAAATCAGGTGTGCAGTCATTATTTCACTTAAGTGAAAAGGCTTTTCTTGAGCATGGGTTTAGGCTCTGTTACAGCTTGTCCAAATACTGCAGCTAGATGTCATTACAGCCTTAAACCTCCTTCACAGCTGACTTTAAGTTTCTGTTTTCTGGTTGGGACACCTGAGGTTGGCTGCACCAAAAGTAGAACCTTCCCCTAACAGGAAGGAGATCCGCTGACTGTCATTGTTCTTTACAACACCTGTTGTCTAAGAACAGGTTAGCCAAACATACTGCAGGTGGAAGCTCTGATCATTTCACAGGTAAGTCTCTCTTTCAATATGTTACAGGTTATTAAAGCAGGTCTGTTGTTGTCTTATCTCCTGTTGGAGTTCAGGTTTCTGTGAGTTAGTCTGATATCGCTGCTGTCTGAAGAAAACGTATCCCCATTTTTGTTGTTTTTTAGTCTTTGACATAATCTGAAAATGTATGTTGTCCTTTATATTATGTGTAAAATTCATGAAGAATGGCCCAAAAGAAATGGCCCAAAATAACTTGGAAAAAAGTCTGGTTCCATTACATTAAAAGTTTACATTAAAAGTAAAGTAGGTTTTTTCCTTTCCCTGTCACCAAACCACTCTGAATGACTTTATTTACATCTTAAACATTTAATTATGCATAAATTTAGAGAATTTGTGGAGTTTCCCCTTAAAGTACTCAGAGTAATAAGAATAACTTGAAAGTGAAAGTGATCTCTGCATTTCTTCATAAATGAAAGTACGAACATGTTAATCATTAACATGATTCCTGAACTAAGCAGGAAAAACTAAAGCTAATATTTGTCTGTACTGATTCTCTAATGAGTGAATTTAAACCAGTTCCAGATTAATAACTCAGACTACACTGTCAATTCCTCTTTAAAGAATTTCATTAAAAATCTGAATTTTAATTTAATGTGAATTTATCCAGATGTATGTAGCTGGGAAATGGACTTCAGGGAAAGGGTGCCGCTGAAAAACCTCTCTGTTGTAGCTCCACCTTTCTGGTGTTCACTTAGAGAATCTAGCTCATTGGTTAATGTACAGTTTGTGTTGTCCATCATCTACCTCTTCATCAGTGGTCAGTTTCTGATCACAAAGCTGCTCTTGTCTGGATATATTTGGGTGGCGGTTGACTCTCAACCCAGCAGTGATGCTGACGTGTGTAAAAACTCCAGCAGCACCGGTGTGTGATACACTCATACCAGCACCACACACTACTGTCAGTGTCCCTGCTGTGCTGAGAATGGACCACCACTCAAATAATATCTGTAATCTATTTGAAATTAACATGTCTGAATTCTGAAAACTGAATTCTTGACAGAGCGTCCCGCTAACCGCTGCGATCTGCGGATTGTTGCTGCTTGGGATGGCAGAATTTTCCATCATGACTCTACCGCACACTTTCATCAAAGCTGACCATGCCACCAAAACCAAACCAGTGTCATCAGGCTGTCAAGGGCAACGCCAGAACCTGAACCGAGAGGGATAGAAGAGCTGCTCCACCTCCATGTCAATGCCCACTCTGAGCAGCCTACATGTCAAACTTCAGCCATAGTACAGTACAGCAGTGATAGGGAGTCCATTTCAATAGAATAAATTCTTTGACTCCAACACGTCTGGGTGTCGGGGTCAACTCCTCTTGGCCAATCACTCTAAGTGTCGAAATGCTTGGAGTCGACTCTTCGACTCTGTCAACTCCATGTTTTTTCATTCGTAACTGGCTCGAGGGACATTTTGACGGAGGAGTGTGTAAATCAGGAGAGTCTGAGTTTGAGCAGATGAGTTTGTTTAATTAACAGCTTTAAACAATTCCAGCTCTGCTCACCAGCTGTACTGAGAACAAACTCTATTCACAGAAACCTTTTCGATTCTTCATGCACCACAGCTCTTCATTTTCTTCATGATTAGGTTTGCAATAAACAATGATTGAGTACACAGAACAAAAACCAAAAACAAACAATATTTTTTGATGTGGAAAAGAGGTCAAAGCTGAAGCCCTTTTTCTAACTTATTCAGATTTCCGTTCCACCTTAAATACCACACCATTAAGGTAACTATGCTGCATTATTTAAGGTGGGCCGGGAAATAAGAATAAGAAGCCGGTGAACACAAAGCCAACTTCAGCCTTGAGAAAAGAGGAACAAGATAATATCCAAGCTTTTCTTTTTCAAGGAAATGAAAAAGAATTTGAAAATAGTGCAAAGGCCACAGTAATGATTTTCTGAGTACACTCTTAAAAAGAGTTCTTCAAGGGTTCCTTAGTAAAGACATTGGTTCTAAATAGAACCATTTGCAGGCGTAAACGGTGCCTTGCCTGGTGAAATGGTTCTTCAGATTGATGGAGAATGTGTTGTATATGGTTCTGACAGTAATGGTGGACCTGACTACCCAGGACCATGCCTGGGTGGGGGCCCTCCAAAAGCCAATAAAGTAATTTTTGGTTTCTAATTTTGATACTTTGTTATTACATGCTAAGATAAATGCTAACTTCTATGATAAGTTCTGCATATCTGTGTTTCTTTTATCTGCTTGTCTGTCTGCTTCTCCAAGTCAAACTATCTCACTATATGGGCATTTTATTTTGTTCGACAAAATTACCCAAAGCAGGTAAAAATGCCTACAAATAAGTGAAAGTCTTAAAATAAGATTACTCAGCATGAGAAACGTTAGCTACATCAACTGGATTTAAGATAATTTCACTTGCCAAGACACCATTTTTTTGCAGTGAAAACATAACATTATTGACTGTCAGCTGCTTTACCCTTAAAAGCATACCAACCAGCCTTTTAAAGAAATACAACATAATGAACACTTTTCTTGCTGTTTGTGAGGAGACCTGGACACACTACTATGCCAGGGTTTGGTGCTACGCCACTGCCAAAAGGATTCTTCTACTGCAACAAGCTTGACATTGTAACAACTGCATAAACCATTTTGATGCTAGATATAAAAAACATTTTCAAAAAGGTTCCCTATAGAACCATATACAACACATTCT